TGTTTTTAATCTATAACTCTTTTATTAACCTTATTTTAGGTGCTAAAAGTAGAACCTCCCGTGCCTTAAACTTCGAGCAAACCACCAGTTAAGATCACAACTCAAAGGATTGGTTCACCAATACTATGGGCTTGAGCCGAGCAACAGTTATTGGGACTCGATTGATTTTGAGCAAGCATAGCATGAACAAAGCCCAATTGCATATGAACAAAAAGCTTAGCATCATTGTTGAATTTGCAAAATTCCAAGTTAGACAATATCATTAACAAAAATGAAAATGAAGAGTTTGAATTGTTTGGAATAGTGGGAGGGATGGTTAATGGATTGTTTAATTTTAAAAAAAAATATTATTATGCATTTTTAAAAAGTATTAAACTTCATAAATTGCTTCAAACTTAAAAAAATCAAACAAAGCTGGTCAATGACGCATCACAATTCACGTGAGACAGAATTACATTTTTCTTATCCTTCAAAAAAAAAAAAGAATTACATTTTTCTTCAAATACTTCAGCTGGAAAACAAAGAAAGTTCTGGCAAACCTTTCCAGAATGGTCAGACTTCTCGCCCATTAATTCTTTAATTTCTTTTTCATTTCTCAACTTGTCGGGATGAGTTAACTGCACAAAAGGTCTTTAAATTATGCTTAATGTTATAAATTAGTAATAATATAATTATTTTCCGCATGTAGATTGATCGAGGAATGTTAGAGTGACAGTCATACCTTTGTAAACTTTAAATTTCTAAATAATTTAATTATTCTATATTAATTATCTAATTTTATATTCTTTAAAATTTTATAATTTTATACTGTCAAATTTTTAAAATAATATACTAATGATTTCTATCTTCAACAAAAAAAAATCTACGTCCACCCTTTAAACCACATGCATACTAATCATCATAGAATCATTTATTATTATGTATATGATAACCGTAAAATATCTTATCTTATAATTATCTAATAACTGAAAATCATATGATCATTGAAAATCTTCTGATAAATGTAAACATTTAGAATTCATCATCTTAAATATCATACTTGGGCAGTTCATACCCAAAATCATTCATAAAAACTTGATAAAACAAAATATATTCCATACTGAAAATTTATAAATCATACTGGAAAATTAAAATGAGGCTGACTTATCGCAAGTCGTCCTCGACTATAATGATAATCAAATAAACAAATTGGATTCACTTTAACACTTTATTACTATTATTTTAAATCAAAATATAATTCTCACTAAGTTTTATATTTAAATCATTTACCTTCCACTACTTCTAATATACAATTTATCAAAATTCTATATTCTGTCAGTTTGTACTACCATCAAACAAATATTATTATGTATTAATTAATATACTGAAAAATTATTATGTTTGCACTAATGAAAACTAGACTCGAATACGAGTCTAACCATATAAGACACTCCGTTTAGCTCCACTTGTACAACTTATAGCGAATTTTCAAAGTTGACTAGTAGAAGTTGTTTCGACAGAACCTGCTGCCCTGTTTTCTTACCCTTCACCGATTAAAATTTCGTATCTTTTTTTGTACACCTCGAAATCATTCACCGTCTGTTTTAAACGAATCTAGACTGATATACTAATCTAATGGTATAGAGATCATCCTCTAATCAATTTTTTATAATTTGTGGTAAATTTCTAAACTCACTATTCAAATTCTAGTTTCTAGACAACTTTCCTTAATTAGCTTCCTTAATTTCATAATTTTGTAAGCTTAATAAATGAAACTTTAGGCTAGAATCACAATTCATATAACATTAGGAGTCACTTCTTACCATAGTAACCTCGTCATTGCTCATCGCAAGTCAATATTTATACGATAACACAAACACGAATTAAATGCACTCACCTTTGCCTAGCTATCGAACCTTCTTCACGATAATCTTCTCGCTCCCATACTCTTTTCCTTCCCTTTAAGCTACTTGAATCACTACATTTACCTTGATCTGACAACATTATATAATAACATAAAATATTCAAACTATATGTTAGCATCGAACTAACATAATCTAAACGTAAATATAAAATTCGATAGAAATAAATCTGATATTTAAATCGATATAAAACTAAATCATACTTCCATCGTAACTTTCAAACTTCTCAAAACACTTATTCGATCATGTGAATATTTATTTTCACTATCAACCCTTTAATTTTTTCTAATTACACAATCAAACCACTAATTATGAATTCTTTCTGAAATTCACCTTAACCTTTTTATTAACTTCATAATGATCTTTCACCATTATGATTATTTCACATTAATAACATAAAATTTACAGCACGTCAATAAAATATTCAAATCAATACTTAAACATTCAAAAGCTTGCAAATTCGTCATAAACTTTTTTAAACTTTATCAATTCAACTTTCAATCTCTGTAAACTTGTAATTAGGTTCCAACCAACATTGCAACTTAAATTTCCAGCATTCAAATAATAAAATTCAACATTAAACACCCAAATATCTTATTCTTGCAATAATGTCCCACGATTCTCAAAACATATATATTAGCCCTTTTTGCTTATTCAAGCATCCAAATCGATCCAAATCAATCTCATTTCCAACATCCTTTCATACTACAACAAATTCCAGCAAAGGACCTTAATGTTTTGACATTTGTACACAAATCATCCATAATTCCAAAAATTATGAAATGGGTCCTTAAGTTTCAACCAAACTTCAATTTAATCCAAACATGATTTCATATACACAAAATCACTTCTACAATCATTCTAAACCCTTAGAAAATTTTTGAGAATTCTTTTCCAAATAATTTCCCCTGAGGCCGAATAATTCAACTTTTTACAAAATAATCCCTAGACTTAATTCAAGCTCAATTTCATCATTCACACAACATTTACAACCAATTTAACTCCTTTCCATATCAAATATAAATCAAACACAACATGTTCCTAAACATAACCCTATGGTCGAACCTTATATATAGTCTTACACTTGATTTTTAAACAACTTTCATGCTTGATTTGAACTTCACAACACTTCTAACATCAATAATCAACATTTAATCATAAAAATCACACTTCCCCTTTATACACAACTCACCAACTTAAACATAAAACATGAATATTTTTATGTCAAATGAAAGAGAATTTCATGTAGGTTATTTTATCCTTAATAACCTAACTTAAAATTCTAGTAAAAATAAACCAAAAATCAAAACAAAGCTTCTCACCTTGTTAATGGAGTCTCACGGCAGCAAAGAGGATGAAGGCTCTCTGTTTCTTGAGTTTTCTATAATTATCACTTCTTTACACGTTTAACAACCGTTAAAAAGGAATTAAAAATTCATTTTTTTGTTAAATAACAATTTTACCCTTAATAAATTTTCATAACTACAACTTTGTCACTCTATGACATCATCCCTTATCTCATCATATCCATAACAAAAATATCATAATTCTGATTTTTCATATTTGTCCTTGCAATTTTTGAAAATTGCAATTTAGTCACCTAATTCCAAAAGTTTGGCTTAACATGGAAAACCAACCTTAATTCCATTGATCCATGTTAAATTTCACTTTTCCAAGATATAGAAATAATATTTCCAACCTATATTTAGAATCTTCCAAAATTTAATGAAATTCTCATTCGATCCGATTATATGATTTCTTATCAAACTTTACTACTCAATTAATTATTGCACAAATTCCGGATCAAAATACGAATTTCACATAAGATTCACTCTTAAGTTTGAACTATCTATTTATGGAATAAAAAATTCTTTTGGAAAATTACCATCTTGGTCCTTAAACGTTTATGAACTTTATACTTTGGTCACTAATTTTTCAAAACTTTTATTTTAGTCACTAACCAAAAGTTGGGTTATTACAAAAGGTGTTTTTAATTTTTTAATAATATTTTTATTTTTTAAGAAAAATAAAAATTTCAAATTTTTAAATTTTTGACACGTGTCACTTAACGGATTTTTAAACAGCCGTTTGAACCGAGGCACCTAAAATGTTAATGTTTATAATGTCAGACACCAAAGTTGTAACGTTTGTAACGTTAGTCACCTGGATAAGTCAAGAAATAATTTAGACACATATTCAAGAAAAACAATATATTTTGGACATTTATTTCAATATTAAGCATTTTTGAAACGATATTTAAAAACATTAGTTTTTCATTCACCGAGAGTTTTAGGCAGACTCTTTCACTCATTAAAGTTGTCAAAAAAAACCTCTAATCTCTGAGTACGAAAGCATTATTAATTTTTGAGTAGATTATAATACATAAACAAGATTTTTAAATAGGATATCTAATATATTTATATGATTTATTAGAACTAAATTTAAGATTTAACTACTAGATTTTTCTAACTTGCAAACCTATGAATAATCATATTAATTTATTTAACTCTTTCAACTAGAACAACTACAAATACCCCTCAATCATAACCGAGAATTAGAGACTCTCTTTTACGGTACTCCTATCTTTATCTATTCTTTATACATTTAAACCCCTAATAGAAAAATATTAATCTTTTATAATCTACGATTCTCTATCTAAATTAAAAGAGATAAATCGTCAACAATAGGTGAAAGTCAATTGAATTTCATCAAATGAAAAATTACGGACAAAAAGAAAATTATTATAATATTGAAATTACATGAGGTCTTTAACTTGATTGTAACTCTAATCTTAAGAATCCCTACATCTATCACAAGTCTCTCTTTTCTTGTAATTTATTTTTCATCAATTGGACCGTACTATAAACTTTTGAATCGAACTAAACTAAAATTTAAATTACACTCTAAATTCATTTTCCAATGCCCATTTTATATAAAAATCCAACATCTTAACCCATTAGTGAGAAAAAAAGGCCCAAACAATGGGTCCATGTTCATTAACCCCTTTGTCGTTGTCTCATAAACCCTACTCGAGGGCTCTGCCAAAGCAATTTATGATATTTCGTTTCATTTCTCTGCTAAAATCCCCAGCAGACAAGCATGAACTCCACAAAGCTGTTGTTAAACTCAAAATCCCAAGCTCAGTGTGTGTTTTTTAGCCGGTTTTATTATACAAACAGGGTCAATAAAGCCACTCTGTATTCCAGAATCAGTCCTTTGGGAGGCCCTGACAAAAGCGTCGAAGCTGAGCTTGAAAACTGGCTCAAACATGGGAAAAACGTTCGAGTCGCCGAGCTGCAACGCATCATTTACGATCTCCGCAAGCGAAAACGATTCACTCAAGCTCTTCAGGTTTGAGTTTTTTTCATGATATTATCATACTAAGTAGTGGAACATTTGTGAAATCTGAATGATGCTATGACTTGAATTTTTAGCTTTAAAAAGCCAAGACGTATTTTGATATCATCACTGTCAACTAGTTTCCGAGATTTGTTTTCATAATTCGACTCGATTTTATAGGGTACCTGATGCAATGGAGATTGTTGAGTAAAATCTGAGACTTTGTTTTCTAGAGTCAACTCTCGACCTGTAAAATTTAGGATGTATTTGAATGGAATCATGAACATAGCAGATAAGAGAGAAAAAATTACAATTTTGAAAGAATGATTGATTTATTCGGCTGGATTAGTTTGAGTTAAGTTAGTCGTTTAGGTCTATCCTTGTAATAATTGATTCCGATTTTAATTTGAAACTTAAAGAAAAGAACAGAACGATACTGTTTCGATCGCTACTCGATGCTCCACATTGTTGCTTAAAGTGGAGGTGGATGAATGAATGTGAACTGTTTTTAGACCTGCAAATCTAAACTTGTTATTTAAGGTTGATTGTGGCAAGTAGCTTGATGCTTTTTTGGGTGGTGTTTGAATACATATTTGCATGAAATTTTCGAGTTATGGAGTTACGATTGTAGTTTGTAATTGAATCTTTAAAATTCAAACCATTAGATTATGGCTAAATTTGTTTCTTTTCTGTTACTTTATGATGTCTAATGGATCCAGGTTTCTGAATGGATGAATAAAAAGGGTCTTTGTGCCTTTTCACCTACTGAACATGCCGTGCAATTGGATCAGAAAGCTATTTTAATGGATTGAAGGACCAAGATAAAACCGATAAGACGTATGGTGCTCTTCTGAATTGTTATGTGCGTCAGCGACAGACAAACAAGTCCCTCTCTCATTTGCGGAAAATGAAGGAGTTGGGTTTCGCCTCGACAGCTCTTACTTACAATGATATTATGTGCCTTTACACGAATATCGGACAGCATGAGAAGGTACCTGAAGTGATGAAGGAGATGAAAGAAAAGAACGTCTCCCCCGACAACTTCAGTTACAGAATTTGCATCAATTCCTTTGGTGTGATGTCGAATCTCAAGGGAATGGAAGAAAATTTAACAGAGGTGGAAAATCAACCTCCCATTAAGATGGATTGGAACACTTATGCTGTTGTTGCCAATTTTTACGTAAAAGCAGGCCTTACTGAAAAGGCAATCGATCAACTGAAAAAATCTAAACAGAAGCTAAATAATAAAGATGGAACCTGCTACAATCATCTACAAAAACAACAACAAAACCCTATTCCCATATGTAATAGGGTAAGGGGGAGGTAGGGAAGTAGGCTGCCTCCAACGTCAGGTTGAGAGCAGCTTCCGTGGAAGACCTCCGGCAGTCAGTAAATTAAAAATATAGATAAAATGCAATGCATGTATAAAAAAATAAATACATAGTTAAACAGTCTTCATATGCAATCATCATATGAGTGTAAGTAATGAGAAGTAATCCTTGTAAATAAATCCTTGCAAAAAAATCTCTGCATGTATACAGAAATGTAATATCCAGCTAAATTTAAAAGAGGAAACATGAAGAGAATGATACACAGAAGTCAACGATGAGAAGGAATAAAGCAAAATGGGTTAAAACCTAAACTAAGGCAATACTATTCCGCTACCCCATTTCTAAGCCTTCATAAATTCTAATGAAAGAAACATATAAAAAGTAAAAGTCATGGAAATTACTACAAAGGCATTAAAAGAAGACAGAGATGATACGCCCTATGGATGTGACTCATACTACTCGACTATCATGGTCTTAAGTCTCCATACTTTCCTATCAGAGGTCTTGTCCTTGGTAAGGGCTAAATCGATCAAATCAGATCTCAAGCAGTCTTCCCACTTCCGCCTTGGTCGTCCTCTCCTTCTTGGATCGTCAACTGTAATCGACTCTACCCTCCTGACCGTATCTGACGATTGTCATCTAAGGACATGCCCAAACCATCGTAGTCTTTCCTCCCTCAATTTTTCGGATACAGGCACCACCCCCAAGGACATCCTAATAGCAGAGTTTGGTGTCATATCCCACAAGTCCTACCACATGCCCATCAAATCATTCTCATTTCTGTGGCCTCCATCCTCCTTACGTGATCCTTCTTGATTGCCCAACATTCTGATCCATACAGCAGCGCTAGTCTTATTGACATTCTATAAAATTTTCCCTTAACTTTTAGAGGCACATTCTTGTCACACAAAACTCCAGTAGCAGCCCTCCACTTTAGTCATCCCGCCTTTATACGGTGTGTAACGTCATCATCTACACCCTCATCTTTATGTATCATAGACCCTAAGTACTTGAAACAATCATTTAAGGGGAGAACGTGTCCTTCTATGCATACTTCTACATCTTCATCGTTTTGGTTCCCACTGAAGTTTGAACATAAATACTTGTCTTTTCAATATTGATTCTTAGACCTTTTTCTTCCAAAGCAGTCTTCCAAGTAACTAGTCTACTATTCAGCTCAGTTTATGTTTCAACAACTAGGACAATGTCGTCAGCGAAAAGCAAACACCATGGTACACCGTCTGGTGTCTCACAATAGATGTCGTCCATAATCAAGGCGAAGATGTAAGGGTTAAGGCCGACCCCTGGTGGAGTCCGATTTCCACCAGGAATGCCTCGATGTCGTCGATTGTAGTCCTGACGTATGTAGTAGATCTACAGTACATATCACGAATCGCCCGGATATAAGCAGTTGGGATCTGTCTCGTTTCCAATGTCTTCCAGATTGTATCGCGGGGAACGCTATCATACGCATTCTCAAGGTCAATGAACGCCATGTGAAGATCTTTATATTTTTCCCTATATTTCTCCATAAGCCGTCGAAGTAGATGAATCGCCTCCGTAGTAAACATGCCTGGCATAAAGCCAAATCGGTTTTCCAAAACCCAGTAACATGTCTCAAAATGGCTGAGTAGTTTAATACCTCTGTAGTTGCCACAACGTTGGGGATCTTCTTTATTCTTATAGATTGGTATCACCGTAGACTCTCTCCACTCCTCTGGCATCTTGACAGTCTCTAAAATAATATTAAAGATGTTGGTCAACCACTAAACTCCCTCTTTTCCTAGGGCCAATCACACAGTGATAGGAATTTGATCTGGACTGACAGATTTGTCCCTTCTCATCTTTCTAGAGCCATTTTGACTTCCTCAAACCCAATCCTACTTGTAGGGCAGTCATTGGTCGTAGTATGATGATCGGCTGGCCCATCAACGGTATTATCTCTATAGGGAGAGGCACCGTCATTAAATAAGCCAAAGAAATAACTACCCTAAACCCTCTTAATATCATGATCTTTCAATAAAAGAACACCATTGTTGTCCTTAATAAACCTAATGCTACCTAGATTCTTTTTTCTATTCTCCCTGGATTTTGCAAGCCTGAAGATTACGTTTTGTTCTTTCTTGGTGTCTAATCTCTTGTACATTTCCTTGTATGCCTTATCCTTTGCTTTAGCCACCGTTTTCTTGGCTTCCCACTTTGTCTCCTTGTATCTTTGTTTAGCTCTCGACCTTTCTTCATCGTCATTCCATTGTAGAAACCCATTAAAGCAAGTTTGCTTTGTCTTCACCTTAGTTTGGACTTCCTCGTTCCACCACCACGATTCTTTATGTTCCTTGGCCTTCCCTGTCGACAACCCAAGGGTGTTTTTGCCCACCTCTGATGGAATTTGCCATATTTTCCATAACATCTGTATTATTTGAGTTTGTAGTTCCAAAACTTGTATTAGACAAAACCTTACTCCTAAAGTCATATGTCGCTCCATGTAAGTTCTTCCAAATGATCCTAGGTTTACCAAGTTTAGCCCTCTTATGAGTGCTCTGCCCGTGGCGTGTGCGGAACACCAAAACCATCAATCTGTGTTGTGATACACATGCCTCTTCAGGGAACACCTTACAGTCAATGCAAGCCCATCGATCCCGATTTCGAACCAGGATGTAGTCGATTTGGTACAATGTCCCCCTCTATGAAATGTAATCAAGTTTGTATCTCTCTTGTTAAAGGAGTTAGTGACCACCAAATCGTGTGCAGTAGCAAATTCAAGCAACGCACACCCCTCCTCGTTCCTCCTACCAAAACCGAAATCCTCATGAACACCGTCATACCCATCGATTGCACTACCTATATGGCCATTGAAGTATCCCCCTATAAAAACTCTTTGGTCCTCCGGAATGCTCCTAAGTACATCATCTAACTGATCCTAGAAGAAAAGTTTCTCCCCCTCTCCTAGGCCAACGTGTGGGGCGTACACTGAAAGGACATTCACCACTTCCGATTTTATAATAACCTTAATTATCATGATCCTATCCTGGTATCTACAAACTTCAACTACATTTTCTTTGAGCCTAGAGGATACTAAGATATCTACCCCATTTCTAGTGTTATCTTGAAACAAAATAACCAGTAAAACAATATAAAAAACAAAGGCAACCCCTTAAATTTCTTATCTTAACCATAAATTGTTCAAACCCATAAATAATAACTGATTATATGTGCAAGAATCGATAAGAAAACAAAATAAATAAATACCCAAAAACGAAATCTATGAAAGATTAATAAAAACGCAAGATCTATATAAACAAAGGGGAAACATAAAATAATAAAGAAAACTGTGAATGGGGAGCAAAGGATCTAACCCACGACACTCGATCCTCCTGAGCCAAACGTCATGGGTGATTCACTGGAGAGTTTTTTTCTTCAATGGAAATTTAGGGATATGATCGGTAAGGGAGGAAAAAAAGGAAGATGTAGAATCAAGAGTAGAGAGATCTGATCAAGTGCTGAAGAGATCCAGAAGTGGAGGAGAATGAGAAAGAGATGATCCAGAAGTGATGAGATCCACTGCAGATCTAAAATACCAATACTTCTCAAATCCTAATCCAAATCTACTTCATTAAAAACAACTTTTCAACTAAATCAAGCTACGTAACTTAATTAAAGCTAATTTAAAGACAATTTTTTAAATAGTTTGAGAAACTAAAGATTATCAAAGATAAAAGAAGCTTTCAGATTGTGAAAGCTAAAATAGAAAAGCTAAAAAAAAGCTTTCAGAGATTCAAGGACAAAGCTGAGGTTGTAGACACCCGTTTTTTTCCGGGTCTTTTCTATTTTATTTTAATTAATTATTATAACTATTATTTATTATTATTATTATTATTATTATTATTGATTATTATATTTTACATTTTGTGCAGGCCACCTGGAGCCCAAATACACAGGCCCAGATTACAAGCACTAATTCAAGCCCAATTACAAGCCCACCAGGAGCATAATCCTGATCCAACAACAACCCAGACAGTCCAACAACCAAACCCAACCAAGCTGCTGACCCAATCCCACAGATCTAACATGGACTCAACCCAACCCGACTGAAGCCCAACGACCCAAAGGGATACGAACCGACTCGATTTGATGACCCGATTCACCCTAGGTATCTTTAAAACCCTAGGTAGTTGTTGTCGTCCTCTTCCGCTGCCGCCGTCCTTTTCTGCACCAACAATGACTGCAAGCCAGTAAAAAAAATCCCGAAAAACAGGGATTTTTCTTCAGCTAATCAGAGATATTATTTCCTATACCTAGGGAATCATTTTCAAGGCAAGAAAAATCATACAAGCAGTAAAGGGTTAAAAAGGCTATTTGAGTTTTACAAGGAAAATATACGGTGAGATCAAGAAAAAAATAGAGGCATTCGAACCCTAAATAAAAAAAAGCATCCTCCATCTCCATTAGAACCCAAAACACCAAATAAAATAGAAAAGAGAAATAGAAAGTCGATTCTTACCTCTACTCGAAGCCATGGAAGACAAGAGGTCGTCGGTTTCCAAGGTTTTTCGAAAGGTAAATATTTTAGATCTAGGAGGTTAGGGCATTTTTTAGGTCAACCGAAGTTGGGTTTCGGGTTGAGGAGTGCGAAGAGACCATTTTAGAAGCTTTTGGCCTCTCCGATCTCTCCGGCCGCCGTGCGCCATCGTTGGCCCCATCGTGGGAGCCTCCGGCCACCGTGGCCGCCCTCTCTTCGTTTGAGAGAGTTTCAGAGAACTCTCTCTCTCTCTATTCTTCTGTTTAAAAGGAAACAAATGGCGGGAAGAATGCTAAACAAAACCCATTTTGGGCTTATATACTGAACGCAAAACGGCGTCGTTCGTGGGGGCTTCTCTGTGATTTTTCTTTGGGGATAATAGCAGGTTTAGTCCTCCGTGCTATGTAATATGTTGGTTTAAGCATAATGAAATTTTTGCTATATTCTATTTTAAGCACTTATTTTTTTATATTTATTTTTTAGTCCTATTATTATATGTTATATTATTTTTGTTAATGTTTGACTTTGATAACCATATTTGTAATTATTTCATTTTGGTCACTGATCTGGTGTTTTGTGTATTTTTGTAGATGTTTGAATTTCGCTCAATATTTTTAACTTTATTATTTTAGTCACTGTTTGGCATTTGGTTTAATTACTTTTAGATCCTCCATGTTTCTATGTAATTTGATTTTCGTCCTTTATATTACTTTTGGGTTATTTTTATTTCAAGTGTTTGTATTTGTTTAAAATATAGATTGTGGATATGTTTATTTTTATTTTATATTTTGATCCCTTAAGTTTCTATTTTATCTATTTTAGTCCATAAATTTTTTGTTTTTGCTATTAATCCTTTAAATTTTTGTTTTTACTATTTAGCCCTTTTAGTTTCTGTTGTATCCATTTTGGCCCATGAAGTTTTGGTTTTTTACTATTTTAGTCCCTAAGTTTTTGTTTTTGGCTATTTTAGTCCTTTAGGGTTTTTATTTGGCTATTTTGGTCCTTCAAGTTGATGTTGATCGTATTTTGGTCTCTTAAAATTTTATTTGTTCTGTTTTAATCCATTATGAATGCGTGTTGTATATTTTGAGTATAACATTAAATAAATGTTATTATTTTATGTTGTAAATATTTTACTAGTCATTTGTAATCATATTTGTTTCTATTTTATTTCCTTGTTTATTAATATTATTCGAATGTTTTTCAAGAACATTGATTTCTAGAATAAGCGTGAAAAGTTCACTTGGTCGAAGTGATGTGATCCGATACAGCATTTTAACAAAATGTAAACTTGAAATGAATCAACTTTATTTTGTTAATTAATTCATCTTGTATTTTAAATCAAACAACGCGATGCATGTTTATTTAGATAACAAGTTATTTTATTAAACGCAAAAGTTTATAATCAATTTATATTCGATTCACATTTTTTATAACCGAGGAGGAATATTCTTTACTAATAAGAAATAGTTGAAATAGCTTTTGTAACACCCCAACCTGTACCCGACCCGAATACGAGTCCGAGATGTCACATTGACTTTTTAAAAACTTTTCCTTACAAAATAACATAATGTTTGAACTTATTTTAAGAAAATACGATAATATACTATTAAATTATGCTCGATATAAAATTTTGAGGCAAAAACGTATATATAAACAATACTATACGGTATAAACAATGCCGTGAACAGTACCATGAACAGTACCTTGCTACAGTATGCTACAGTTCTTCCGTAAAACATACATAAAACTCGTAAAAATTTAACCGTTCATTACTATACATTCACCATTTATATATATATTTAAAACATTACAAAAGTCGATCAGAGCATACATACTAAACGATTCTATTTACATGCCAACACATATATCACATAAACAGACATACATTGTAAGGTTCTTCTGATCTGGTCTTCAAATGATGATATGCTGCCTTGTTGCTCTTAAGATCGATCTTCTTATTTTACTGTACTTACGTGTAAAGCACTTACACGCTAAGTCATAGACTTAGTGAGGCATACAAATATAATAATTATGCATTCCTTATGAATATGAACATGCAATTTATCCATTCAATCATGTCAAATGTAATTCAATATAAACGATCATATAACAATAATAATGCAATTACCTTTGATAACATTTTATAGGCCCATGTACATTACTGAGAACTCAAGGTATTTGAGTACATTGAGGTTGTGCACTATTGCTGTCACTACAGCTCGTATAAGTCCCACTGAGTGGCATATGAAATTTTTCCCGAAGGACTTGTGAATATGTTTCGAAGGACCTATGAGTTGTCCCAAAAGACCTATGAAGCCCTCGACTCTTGGAATGTCAACTATACCTATAGCTCTCATATCGTATACCATAGGCATTATTCTTATGTTTCATATATTCATGTACTCATGTCATTTCTCTTGTGATCACATAGTTCATATCACTTATCATATCACATGTGCATTTGAATCTATTCTCATATATTATTTATCAAATCATATGAACATATATACTTTATGCATGTGTCATAATAATTATCATGTATATATGTTCATAATTATTGTACTATAAAAATCAACATAGGAATTAGACTTATCATAAGTCTTATTCCATTGTACTAGAATTATAATATGCACTCACCTTGGCCTTGCTTTCGTTGATTTAATCCTAACTCTTAGATTATTCCGGAACAGGATTACGTTTTATATATACATAAACATAATTTTCAAGATAGTTATCGGAAGTCTAACCCTTGTAATTTGATATTAATAACTTAGACTAATTTAAGGAACTAAACTTCAACTTTTCCTTTAGGGGGAATCGATACCCCCCATAGGGTATTTGTACCCCCTGCATAATCTGGAATTTTACCCAGAAATTACTGTTTAAACCCAAAAATTCATCAACTCTTCATTGAATTTCCTCATACAAAGCTCCTTTCATACTACTAAACTCAATTATAATCATTTTAACTAACTTATATCATTCCCACACCTTATTATCTCCATACTTCATTCAAATTCTTAAAACTAAGAATCATATCAAATTTTCAACATGTTTTAAATCCAATTCTAACACTCCATATTCCTTAATTAACCTCTTGACAAGTCAAAAATCTTATTCAAACTTCAAAAACTCATCCATATCAAAATTTCATCTAAAAACCCATTTTTCAAATCTATCTCTAAAACACTTATCTTATTGTTTTAATGCCATATAAGTTGTCCTTTAGTTTATATAACATTCAAACTTTCATTACCAAACCAAAAAATCAAAGAAACAACCAAGGTTCAGATTCTTACCTTAAGATGCAGCCCACGTTGAAGGAGAAGAAGAGAGCAATATGATTTACCAACTCTCTTCCCTTTTTCTTCATATATATCCCACCCAAAACCATTTAAAAATATATTTCCCTAAAATTTACCATTTTACCCTTGTTATAATTCCCTATTTATTATCATACCCAACACATAAAATTCCTCCATAAATCACTAGACTTATCACTTTATTCTAATTCACCAACTGAATTTATAAGTTCTTACAATTTATTCATTTACCTGGTAATTGGGGTGTTACAGCTTTCCCGATGAAGGATAGCAAATTTCAAGATTTCTTATCGAGTTAAAGGATTCTCTTTAGATAGTTAATTCAAAGCAAATTAATCAATGTTCGATAAATGGATCATAATTTAACTTTATATTTGATTTATGATTTCCACCATTTTATGACAACTGTAAGCAACACAATACCAATTTTGGGCGTTGCGGGGATGCTAATCTTTCCTCGCATGTAACCGACTCCTGAACTTATTTTAATCGAATCTTTGGTTACGCAGACCATTTTTATCTTAAAAACGATTTTTCTTATAATTTTCTTAAAAGACGATTTAGGTATTCTACCTACCTAACCTAAAGGTCGATGGAGACTCTAGTCAATTTTATTCAAATCAAATCCAAAACTGTCACTTTTCAAAAATAAAGTCATAACTGTTTTTTTAAATAATATTTAATTGTTTTCTCAAACAAATGGTTATGACAGCTTGGCGACTCTGCTGAGAACCGTTTTTTAGAGAGTCAAGCTGTAAGTCACTTACACATTGTCGTCTTGGTGGAAATTATTAATTCGGGTCTTTAGTTAACTTATAATCCGTTTATTGAAGTTTTAATTGCTTCATTTTTAATCATTGTATTAACGTTTGAATTTTTTCTTTCAGCTTTATCCAAGTTTTTGTCGAGTTTTTTTTCTCTTTACCGTTTTTGAGTAAAAGGTAGGTATGTTCCTCCTCACCTACATCACGTGCATTCGTATAACATAAGCTCTAGACACGAGCTTTGATCCAGATAGGTTGAGGTGAATGCTTTACTCTCGTAAGAATTTATCATTCATATGAGTTTTAGCAAATAACCACATGATACATACCTTATACCTTCGTAGGGATTTATTCCTTGTATGGGTATAAGGCAGTGAATCCCCTCGAATTGAACTCGTTCTGCTCGAAGCCTGTAATGGGTGAGGATCGACAATTTGGTAGCCCAAGGGGGCACCGACATCAAGGACAATTTGAGTACCCTTTTCTTGTTAGAGCCGAAACCATGCATATAGTGAACGTAGAATGTTTACCCTAGGTATAGCTATACGAACCTCTTCCGTCAGTAAGTACCCAAAATAGGTGTACACAAAGGAGGATCGCTTCCGAACCTTTCATTTTTTATGTTAATTAACATCATGCATACTAGATATCATGCGGTTAGGATCATTTTCTTGAAAATAGGTCATTGTGGGTAGAAAACATGTCTGGGTAGGATTGCTATCTTTTTGAAAGCATGTTCGGGTAGATATCATGACAGGGTAAGTGTTATATTCATCTTTGAATACCATTTTTATCCTTATCAATTATTTTACCTGTACTAATTCATTTTTCTCTTTTGTTTGTGTTACGAACTTGTTTTGTCCTCTCTTTTGCTTGTGTCATTTTTCATCATTCTTTGCATTGCATTGCATCGTCATGTCATAATGTGAAAAGTGTTTATCTGTAAGGTGATATTCAAGAGAAAATCTTCACAAGAAGAGGTAAAAGTTTTCAATCAAGCAGTCTCATATACATACATGCATTGAAGGCTAAAAGAATGCCAGAGTATCAAAATGAGACTTGTTCGAAGATAGTGCAACATTCGAGACTTAAAAGATGATCCATTGATCCAATGAGTAATTCAGTAGTAGATTCTTATATACGATCGCTCCAACATTATTCATCGAAGAGTGATGCA